AACTTACTTGCGGGATTTTTTATTTGTTAATGTCTTGCGGGCGAAGAGTTTGTTGTAACGCAAGCGTTACTGAACATGTACAGAGTAAAATATTACTGAAAATGTATTAGTAATGCCTTACACTACTGCGTTACAGGAAAAAGTAATACGTTACTGTAATACATTACTTTTGTAACGCATTACTCCCAACACTGTATGCAGTACCTATATCCACTATTCACCACTTACTCTAAATGTAATAAAATCAGAATAATACTTGCGTTTTGGTGTTTGCATAGTTATTTTTGGTTACTGATGTTTTAATCACGTTACTTGCCTGGCGTTAATGAAGCATTAATGTCGAGCGCTGGAGTCTATGTGCCGGGGCTCAGCCCTACAAAAACAGTTAGGGAGACAAAAACGATTTCATTTGATCTTTTGGGTCATCGCGCCGTAGAAAACAACATAGGGAGGGCTTGGTGGGAACTTGGGAGGAGGCTCGGGAGGAGGACGGATACCCGGGAGGAGGCCGATGAACAGAGTCCAGGCATGTGACAATGGAGGGAGGAGCCAAAGAGGAAACAGGAGGAGCCAGGGTGGATCGGATGGAGGGAGGAGCCAGGGAGATGACAGGAGGGACTTGGAGCAGGAGGAGCTAGGTGGGACCAAGGCCACAGCCATCATGGTGACCCACGGTGGAGCCGACGGAGGGAGGAGCCATGGAGGAGAAATGGCTGATGACTCCAGGGTGCCACACGACTGCGGCGGAGCAGGGGGCGGAGGAGTCCGAGGCGGCAACGGAGAGCCAATGGGCCAGTGGGATGCAGAGGATCCGGGGGGCCAGGGTGGAGCCGAAGGCTCTGGCAACCGAGGCGGAGATCCGGAGATCCGCGGTGGTGGCAGAGATCTGGAGATCCGCGGTGGAGCCGGAGCAGCTGAGGACCAAGGTGGAGCTGGCGAGAGGGAGGAGCCCAACCGAGCCGGTGGGACAGAGTGACGAGGTGCAGTTGGAGGAGCGGAGTCCTGAGGCAATGGCAGGTCGACGCCCGACCAAGGCGCGGAGCCAGAGGGACGAGGGAGCCTGGGGGAGCTGGTGGAGCGACGGGCGACGGGGGGGGGGAGGGAGCTAGGGGCCGAGGTGGAGCCACTGGGTCTACGGGCCGAGGCGGAGTCTGGGCCTCGGAGGCTGGAGGCCGAGTCAAGGGATACTCCAGCCATGGCGACGCTGGAGGATGGCAGTCCCGCGGAGCTCGCACCGTGCTGATGGTGGGCTGAGGGCGAGCAGAGGGGCGATCTTCTGCTCAGTCACTTGGCATTGCACTGGCTCGTCGATCACGGCGGGAACTGGCTCTCCGTCAACGGTGGGCTTGGGCTGCTGCTCTGCGCCTTGGGGAAATTGTGGGATCTGGTGGGGTCGGTAGAGGAACTGAAACAGAGTTTCTCGCCAGTTTTCACTCCACAAAGGCGGCAAAGTCCTCTCGAGGGCCATCTTCGGACGACAGCGCTCTGTACATGGTGTACAGACAGTTCATGGGCGTGACAGTTATCACTCCATTAGTTATTCTAAATCTAAATGAACTTTGCTTCATAGTAATGCCGCTCCCGCACTGCCCCCGACCTGAGGGGCATCAATACTCCGGTTAGGGAGATGATTTGGCCTTATTATATTATTTATCTATTTACGCTAGACACACAACAGCTTATATTAAGCTTATGTTAAACACAAATATGGATTAAAATTCCTAACCTTTTAACCCAATGAGCATTTAAAAAGACTGATTGAATAGAAAATATTCATTCACTGCAGCAAGTATCCGCATCTTAAATTTGATCTTGAATTTGAGTTTTATCCTGCAATGTATAAAAAATTATGCCAAACTTGACTATCGAGTTTGACTAAACAAAAAAGAAGACACACACACACACACACACACACAGACAATAGACAGTACTTCTCATGGGATGAAGTCACACTATGCTGTAGTTTAGAGAATGAATGTGTTGTTGTTGTTTTTTCTGCATATGTGCAAAGCATATTGAAATACAATATGATTAGAAAGCTACATCAACAATGCCACATCCAGATCAAAGATAGAGCAATGTGCACATTTTACAGTTTCTTTCTCTATTTACAACAAATGTCTTATAATGGCTCCTCCTATATTTGTATTAGTCTGTACAGTTCCAGATGAGACATTTCTGTCAGGACACATAAATGTGCATCACATGGGTTTTTGAAAAAGAATGAGCACCTGCTAATCTCTAATCATCTGGTAAACCTGTGAATACAGTGTTCACATTCATAAAGAACAGACTAAAAGTATTTCTTTACTTTAGTTTAAATGATCAAACCATGGGACATTAGCCTTATTCTATACAATCTTTGTAAATCAAGTTTAATGAATATTATTTGCTGATGTTTCTCTGTTGTTTCCCTTTATTCTTGCTAAATATTAGTACATATTTGTATAGTGTTAACCTGCTGAGTAGTGTGCTGTCCCAGCTGCTTTAAAGGGCATAACAATTTATTTTAGGGTGAAGGTTTGATCTTTTAGGAGCAATACAAATCCATTGATATTGATTTCTGCATTGCTGTTATGATCTTGTTAGTTTGCACACCTAACAAACTCCATATTACTGACCATTGTTTACATCTCTACAGTGATCTTATGATGGACTGAAAAGGATGAAAGTTTTTAAACTTTCTGAATGTTTTAAATTGTTATATTGTTCAATTAATTAGCATATGTCTTTAAAGTCACCTTTGGCTTACCCAGGAGTTTTAAGGTGTTCTTTTTGAAAAGGTGTCAATAAAAACAAAACAAACTGACTCGCCATCATTCCAGCTACATTCACGTCTATTTGTGTATGGCATAAAAGAATGTCTTTCTGAATGACAGGCATATACAAAGAAACAGTATGTACAAACATCTTCATCACAATTTAAAAAATGAAAAACAGGTTTGAATTCTTGGGAATTTATTTTTTTTCTGGTTCCAGTAATGGTACACCCACAGCTATTAACCAAGGTACTAATAAGAGTTTGAGACCTACAGTTCATCTTCACTGTATTCAGGTGCTGAAGAGAGAATCTTCCTGAGTTTACTCTGCAGCAGCATTTGACCTCAGGTAAAGTTAATTTCTCTTCATTTTACCCTGTTGGGCTCAAAATACTGTTTATATCATTGGCTTTTTATGGATCTAAATTATTTTCTAAAAGGTTAATTTTATACACATATCTGTGGCGGTTTACACACACACACACACACACACACACATATATATATA